ATCCTGAGGTAAAAATTTAAAATGGAAAGTTTTTATATTTAAAATGCAGTTAGGCAACATCAAACAACCTGTTCACCATTACGACTGTTTAATAGTTCTATAAACAGTTCAGTAAGCAAATGCAATAATATTAGATCACTTACGTTTTAGGCGGAAACAGCACATCTCACAGCAACCAGCCGATTCATTGCTGATTGATTCCGTGTTTTGAACGAATCGGTTGAATCAAAGTTTCATTAGCCCACGCATAAACATCTGCTGTTTGAATTAATCGTTTGAATGAACGACTCAATGACTCACTCATTAAACATTACTGGCACTGGCGTTTTAATTTCATTGAAAAGTATCATTTCCACCATCATTTCTTGTTTGTATATTCAAAAATATTTAAAAGAATCTCATAATATTATTTAATGCAGTTGTATTTTTCAGTGTAAATGATTTAATTTGATAACGTATAGATAATCACATTATTATAATTGAATTTCTAGATCAAATGTAAGAATTTGAAATGAAAGTATTAATGAGATTAGTGGGAAAATGCCCTCTATAAAGGTAAAAAAAAATGTCCTTGGATAAAATATTGAATATATTAATATTGAATAAAATTAGAATATTGCTTCAGAATACATCATATTTGCAAAACACACACACACACATATACATATATATATATATATATATAAACGCAATACCATAGAGAGACGGAGAGAGAATATGGTATCCTTTTCTCAGTATTTACCAAGCTGTTTTATCTTGAGGAATTATTTCGTTGTCAAGGGTTTTATTAAATGTAAATTGCAGGATTATTGTGCAACTATTTTTCCTCCCTTGATCTTCTGCAATGCAAGCATTCTTCTTACTTGCGAAAAGCTTGTCCAAAGCAGGATCTTGATCCCTTTCATTTTGTTCTTTGGAAGTATAATCTCAAATGAACAAACACTAAACTGTAAATGTCATGGAATCAGTTGCATTGTTCTGTTTCCATCAAAATAGCACAACAGCTTGGTAATTGTTGATGGAAGCAAGAATAGCAGGGATTAGGAATGTTCTGTCATCAGAGAAACGGTCCCGTTCGTCCAGAGCCTATCAACTTCTGCCAGAGTCTTTTGTATACAGCTTCTGAGACACGATGAGGTTAAGATTCCCCTCGAGTTAATAAAATAAATATCAGAGTATCTGCAGAGATATAATCTTCATAAATCCATTAGGGCCTCTTTGTTTAACTCCCATAGGGGCCGTGGCTTAATTTTCCCATGTCGGTGGCTTTGGGTAATGTCTTTTTAATGACACTATCCAGGATCCTGTCATGAGCAGGGTCATCAAACAAATCTCCCACCCTCTCTTCCTCTCGCGCTCTGTCTTGTCAATACATAATGTTAATATTAAAGTTAAAGTGCTTTAGCAGGGGTCCAAACAATTCTCAAGGGTCACATTAGCTCTTTCTCCCTGTTTGTTTGCTGAATCACACAAAAAGCTGGTTGGAAAATACACGCGTTACAATGCAACATTTAAATCATCGAAAATTTGTGATTTCAGAATAGAAGAATCTCACTTTCATGTGTACATTTGAACTGAATTGGCTACGCTGGTCTGGAAGCTCATTTGAACTGAAATAAGAGGGATTTACTGAATTGCAAATCCAGCCTGGCTATGAAATATGATCTTAAATATATTAGATATAGACTTGAAATTTTAATTCTACTACTTCACATTCAAATTCAAAATGCTATTAGGTATCCGGCTCGTTACCTTAATCCAAGAATGTATATATCAAGAAAGTTCACTCATATGGCAGAATAAGTCCTGCCTTCTAAATAAAAGAGACAATCACCAATTGGTAAAGTCATTGCATCTATTTGAAGCTCTAATTTGCAAAGAATCAGTCAGTGTCTTGAGATGAGTGCTTAAGACCACACATGTGTATTGGCTACACCAACCAGAGAAATGCTTAAATAGCGTTCGAAAAAGGCAGAAACAACATTTATGATAATTTCATGACAGATGTTGTCATTTAAAGTATGTTAATTACAAGTGTTAATAATAATGTGTAAAATTGAATTGAATTTGAATTCAGTTCTCAATGGCGCATAACCCTGTAAATCATAGAGCCCAGGCTCATCATGGAGAAACAGAAATCGAAGGCACAGACACCGCTATAAAGATTGCATTATATTTCCAAAAATATATGTACAGTCTATTACAAAGGTTACAAAGCAAAAAAAAAAAAGAGGTCTATGTAACAAGAAATCGTCAAGATAAATGACCATACAGTTTCTCAACTCAGGAAAATACTTTTTTTTTGACCAATGAATACTCTCCATACTCTTGTCACAGAAAAATAAATAATAAATCGACAATTAATTTGTACTGTACATTTTTCCAACCTAAAAGAGAAAAGAAAAAATACTCTTCTAAAATGGAAACCTATTAGCTCTCTTTGGTCCTAAATGAGAAATTATGTACAACTGAAAGAGTGAGGGTGACGAGAATCAGCTGCATGTGAGATAGAAAAATATAGTGCATTTTCAATGAGCTCACTACAGAGTACTTAAGTGAAAAATAAAGAAAAGAAATGACAATTATAAATAAAATATACAAGTTTTACAGCTAAAACATAAACAAATTGTCCTCTGGTTTGTGATTACTCTTGACACAATCAACAGTGCTGAACTCTTTGGAATATTCCACTTCACTTTTTGTCTTAGGTGGGCTCTTTAGCGTCTTTCGAGAAGTATTTAATACCCTGCTGCACCGTGAACTCAATCAATCCAACTGTCCATCAATCCAAAAACTGTCTTGACCGAAAACTCCACTATATCAAACCAGAAAAGTTAGAAATGGCACAAAGCAGAAAAGGAGAAAAATTGACAGATTTGTCATTGACCCGTACGGTGGCCTCAATGTGGGATTGATTGAATCCAGGCATTAATCTCAAATTGGCTCAAATTGCTGTCTCTACAGGGGCCCCCGGATCCGAACGGCGAGGGTAAGGGCCTGTGAGGGGCCCCCGGGAGGCCGGAGTGTGAGATCAGAGCGTGCCGGGAGGCTGATCTGAGTGTCGAAGCTCGAGAGGTTTGTGCTGACCGAGAGCCATTCCGCTCGCATTCAATTCAAACAGGCCTGGCGTGGGCTCAATGCTGAGGTTAGCGAGATGGAAGGATAGTGGAGCAGAGATGGGCCTCTAACCAGGGTATGATATGATCCGCATGAGACGCACACACACAAACCAGCTGGGTTCACAATGGAGACGGCATGGTAAACGATGGCTTTTTTGAAGCGCCAAACGTTTGGCTAAATCCTCCAGTGATGCTGCGCTCCAACGGCTCTGCCGTCGCTTTCTTTCTAATCAAGAAAAATGCCACATGTTGGCACGGCTGTTGCGGTTAAAATGGCATTGGCTCCCCAAAATAATGAAAAACATGTTGTGTGTTTAAAACGTGTCACATTAAGGTCTTGTAGTAAATAAAACAAAACTACATCAGTTCAAAGTTGACTAAAAGGGTAGAGTTTTGTGGCAGCCCAGCAAAGCAAGTCTAAAAAGGTCTACAGTACTCCTTAAAGTACTTAACACTAAAATGCGTAACATTTAGTTGTCAACGAAACATTCAGTTGAGAGTGGAAGGCTGTTATGGCACTAAAACTTTAGCGTAAACCTCACATTTGAGCTCAGCACAACAAAAGGGTGGAAGAAACACACCAAAACATCGCAGTCTGGGTGAAGAGATCCTTGTATATAAATTCACCAACTCTCTTTGATCAAATTTCCCAGCACTGCTGCTGATTTCCAAGCAGTACATGAGTAAAAGTCTATACAGCACCTCGAATTATTGCTCATATTAGTCAGCCTCTCCCTAACTCGTAATCTCACAAAGAATCTAAGTACCTAAAAATAAGAGCAATAGTTGACTTGTTTTAAGGCAGTATTACTCCTTTACACCACAACATTGTATGATTTTAAGGTCAGTCACCCGCTAGGAAACCAACTGGTACTGAACATAAATGAAATGGTTGCTTAAACAATTAAATCAAAATAGCCTAACTTTTTTTTTCTTTTTCCATTCTTTATGGAAACATGTATTTATGGTAAATAATATCAATATTAAAAAGTACACATTCAACAACAGCACTGATAAATCCATTCATGTGGTAAATATAAACTTAGAAAGAATATTGCCACCGTAATAGTTGTTCTTGCATTAAAAAAACCCACCTGAAGTGGTTAGCAATTCTCTTTGTACTAATTCACATCTGAATTGTCATGTAGGATCATAAAATATACCTAAACGTCTGCTTGGGCTGTTCTTAAACACAACCAGCCACTCTCAGGAGCTTCACGTGACCAAGCAGTGGGATATTTCTGCTCGATATAAAAGACCAGGTCGGCCCGATTCTCTGCCAATGCTTCAGTCTAGAGAGAGCTTCATGTAGATAGTGCTGGCTGGAGAAGACAAACCTCCTCTGTCGACTTTCAGCCTCTGGTTCTGTCTCTTTCTCTCCAGATGAGACGTTTTACCCTGTTGTCAGTTCCGTAACACAATCCAAGAAAACAAGCTAACATAAATCAATCGAGTAGAAGAGTAATGTCCCACACTTCCTTAATGTGGATATTACAAACCAAAGCAAATGAACTCGCAGCAAATTCACTCATTTGCTTATTTTTGTATTCACCCTTGATTTAAAAAAAAGAAATCAGTGAAATCTATAGCAACTATGAGCAAGACAGTCCGTACAAAGCATAAAAATCCTCTCGACTGCTCCATCTCAATGACGTGATGAGTTCTTTAGAGCATCCAGAGGTCACTGTCTGTTTAGGATTCTCTCTCTCCTGCCTGTTTGCGTTTTCCATGTCTCTCCATCTCTTGGTTTCCAGCACCTTCGCCAAAATCCTTTGCCAATAACAAAGGAATGATTCTGTTCTGTCAGTTCTGGAAGGTTAAAAACGGAACGTTTTTTCTTTGTTGTTGAGTGGGGTTTTTTTACGTTTTTTATTAATTTTTTTGCTGTGTCACACATTTTGCGGTGCTGTCCTGGAGAGTTCTGGTTCATCTGACCGGGGAGCGCTGCGGACGCCCATCACACTTGAATGCCCGTCCCATGAAGATGCAGCATCTGGGCTCTCATAGTCTGTATACTGCTCATGATCTTCTTCTGATGGCCCACCAAGGAGATTCCCAAACTCATTACATCCCTAAAGCAGAAACACAACGTTCATAAATCACATCAATGGAGCGTGAAACGCCTGAGAGGTATTTCATTACCTAGGCAAAAGGAAACTGAGAAAAGGCCATATTAACCACAACACGATGAGTCTGAGTATGAGTCAAAGAGATCTGATTAAAATGCAGCACAATGTCTGGATCGTATTGTGAATGAGAGCTGAGGGCTGAAATTACTCCTAGAAAGATCATGCATTTCTATAGAGCGTGGCAGTGTGCAGGAAAGATCATAGCAAAGCGCTCTTACTCGATAGTCATTCTAGCGACAGATTCCAGCGAGCTGTAGCCGGCAGCTGTGAAGTTGTCCACGTATCTCTCCATCTTGATGGCTTCCAACCACTCACTGACCAATCGGAAAGAGGTGAAATCTGGAGTGTTCTGGTCAAGCAGTGGACTTATGGGTCTAAGGAAAAGGAAGAGACAGATATGAGTGTATAAAACCATTATTATGTTAATAAAACCATTATTTCTAGGTACTGGTATATGATACTGTCCTCAGTTTACCTTTTACCAAAAGTATCTATCTATTTGTGTGTGTATATATATATATATATATATATATATAGAGAGAGAGAGAGAGAGAGAGAGAGAGAGAGAGAGAGAAAGAGAGAGAGAGAGAGAGAGAGAGATTGGATATTTTACTATACACTCTTTCCCCTAATTTTGTACATTTAGATTACTAACATCCATAACATGAAAATAATTATAATTTTGGTAATAGAGAGGTCAAATGCCAGTCTTAGTGATATATTCATGTCTCCTAAAATGTATATTTAGCAGATGTAAACACAAATACAGTCTATCTATCAGATAGATAGATAGATAGATAGAAACACATGTTTAATTAAGAAATATTTGAAGGCTGGATGACATTGTTATAGTTTAATTTGTTAAATGAATAAACATTTTAAATACAAACCCAATTCCAAAAAAGTTGGGACACTGTATAAATTGTGGTTTTCAATAGCATATTCTTGTAGCAGTATTGAAACTGAGAATAATGAGATCTCACTGATATCGGTGTTGTGCCAACCCTAACTAACATGGATTACAGACAACGACACATGGTTTATTGTATTTACATCGTAGTGATTTAGCGAACTGTTGCTTTGTATTACTTGTGAAAGATGATTAGGTGGACCAAGGGCTTTCCAAAGTTTTAAAAGTCATATCTTCAATGCGAGACACAGATCCAGTTATGATTGTAAACACACTTCCTCTGTCTAATACCACACTGGGGACTGGAGTTCCCACAAGGCTTTAAAGTCTCAAACACTCATTATGACAACTGATTTAAAGTCCTTGTTATCGAACATGAAGGCATGGAGGCTGTTTCACTTTATTGATTCCCCGGGATTTATTTTTCATCAGTAAACCTTAGCAGATAAATCAAATGCCGGACAGATGGAATTGTTCGCAAATTTACTCGTGAACCTATAAAAGGGCACAAAGACATTGCAGGGAGGTGCAGGAGTATAAAACATAACAAGCAACTTCCATGCGTCGTAAAAGCAAAGCTGGTCTGTGAACAGCATCATTTTCCTTGAGCAGAGATGGATAACGGCAGGCAGTAAAAAAATATTGAATGGGCGTCCTCACCGCGTACACGTTCCCATTGGCGTTTTTAAGGTGTTAGGATTGCGGATCATTTTGTCCAGGATGCCGACGATCTGGTCGAATTTGGGTCGGTCTGCTCGGTCTTTCTGCCAGCAGTCCAACATGAGCTGATGGAGGCCAGGAGGGCAGTCCATGGGGGCGGGAAGACGATATCCCTCCTCTATAGCCTTTATGACCTGCAAGATCAGAGTGAGAGATGGAAAATTAGAAAAGGCGTGAAAGGAAACCAACAGGTTAAGAGACAGAGATACAAAAAGACAAGAAAAAACTGAGTAGCCTAGCCATTAGCATCCAGAACGAAATGTACACAAAGCCCTGCCTGCACCTCCAGCTCTCCATTTGCTCATCCTTTAATCAGGACTCTGTAAACAGCAGCTTTGCTGGATAAATCTGTTGTGGTTTACCTCCAGCATTACAAACTAACCAGATGTGATTATTCTTGCACTGGTTATTGGAGGGAGCCCGAGTGCAATAAAAAAGGGCACTGCCAAAACTGGATGTGAATGAAGCAAGCGCATTAAAATCCGTCTGTTCAACAGCTGCTTGTGACTGTCATACTATCATGAGCCTATGTAATTAACTAGCCAACAGGGTTACGGTTTAAACCAAAGATGAATTCATTGTCACTTGAGTGTCTGGCTCCACATGTCGGGGTTTATGAATGTAAAGGGACCATAAAACAATAAAACCACCTGTTCTCTTACTAACTCAGCATGCTGGGCCTTAGAGTTATGTTTACAGTAAATATACAGTACCGTTCAAAAGTTTGGTGTCAGTAGGATGTTTTATTTTTTCAAAGAAATCAATTCTTTTTTTCAGTAAGGATGCATTAAATTGATCAAAAGTGACAGTAAAGACATGCTCTAAAAGATTTCTATTTCAAATAAATGCTGTTCTTTTGAACTTTATACTCAATGAATCCAGGAAAAAATTTAATCTAAATATTAAGCAGCACAATTGTTTTCAACATTGATAATATTAGAATGATTTCTGAAGGATTATGTGACACCGAAGACTGGAGTAATGGCTGCTGAAAATTCAGCTTTGCCATCACAGGAATAAATTACATTTTAAAATGGAAAACAATTTAAATTTTAATATTCCACAATATTGCCGGTTTTACTGTATTTTAATCAAAAAATGCAGCTATAATGAGCAAAAGAGTCTTTCAGAAATGTGGATGCACAACTAGCAGCTAAACTGATAAAATTATTTGTATCTTTTCTCTGTAACTAAACAGAGAAAAGGCTTGTCCAGATCTATGATTTTCCCCCTTGTCTACTCCCAAGGAATAGTAGAAGCAGACTGTTTATTTTCCCCAAATCCTCATCTGCTATTCTTGTCATGTCTCTCCAAACAAGGCTTGAGCTACGGAAAGAAAAGTGTCAAAACAGAAAAGAGTTGAAGAAATGTAAATATTTCCTTCTTTTTTAGCAGCCCTCAAGGAGTTTTTCGCCTCCCCCTCAAAAGGGTATAAAAACATCTGACGTCGAGGCCTGACAAGTATCAAGACTCCACCGAGGCAAATGTTCGAACGCAAAAAATAATAACATTAAAGACTGATACAAGCTAGTCACTACCATGGAGAGCTAACGTTCACTAGTGAGCAGAGAATTATAAGTCATCATTAGTCTCACTGATAAAGGTTCTCTGAGGATGTTCAAGCTTGTGTAATGTTAACAAAGAATCTGCCTAACAGTGCACTGTACACAAGACAAGTGCCTACATACAGCAGCAGATTAACAACACTTCCCCTCATACATCTCGTTAGCCGTGACCATATCAGAAATTCAATCCGCTTCAACGTGAAAACCTTGCACGCATGTGATCCGAATGATGAACGGCACTTTGCTGTCCAGATTTCTTTGAGACAAAAGCTCAGCCCGTCAGAAAATCTCGGCTCGGCAGATCGTTCAGAAGGTTTTGCATGGCTAAGCAGATATCTTTGAATTGATTGAACTCTGCTAATGATGAATTTGGCTCGCATTATCATTTCTCATTATAAAGGTTGAAAGTGTAGCAGAATACAAAAAGGAATTCTACAAGCAAAACACTCATTCGTTTCCGCAAATCCATTAAACCTTTTTATCCTCAAAATGTATCATTAAAACAAGGTCACTCCTGACACCTGTGTTGATATCCAGCTAGAAAATTCAAAGTGGCAGACATGCTTAACTGTCCTAATACTTGAATACCTACAGATTCTTTCAGAGTAAACATAGGCCTTGGCCTTTTGGTGCAAGCTGTGGTTTTACAAGACTATAAAGTAAGCTGAACGAATAAGAGACTTGTCTTTTCTTCTAAAAGTGCCTTGATGAAGTTGGAAAGTTTTTTTTAATTTAACCCACATGAGAAACGTTTGAAACTGATCAAATATGTATAATGGCTGCATTAAAAAAATATGAATTAATGTAGAAGGAATTTAAAACAAGATGATCACAGAACCAACATATGCCTTGATGCATTAGAGCAGTGATGACTTGTGAACTGATATTGTGATGATGATGGTTGGTTTACTGATGATTTAGTGAACTGATATAGGCATGATTTAAAAATAAATCTATTAAATAATAAATAAATAATTAATACATGGAATTAGTACATTTTTATTGTATATATATATATATATATATATATATATATATATATATATATATATATATATATATATATATAAGAATATATTTTTATTCTTTCATATGCATTTTTTCATTGTATAATTTTTTTATTTTTAAAATATGTATTATATATAATTTTATATGGATTTTTATTATATTATATTCAGAAACCATTTGATTTGAAAGTACAAAACATTAATCTGAACTTACATCTTGATTGGACATGTCCCAGTAAGGTCGTTCTCCGTAGGACATGACCTCCCACATGACAATCCCGTAGCTCCATACATCACTAGCTGATGTGAATTTACGATACTGGATGGCTTCCATTGCTGTCCACCGAACTGGGATCTTTCCACCCTGTGGAGTAAAATTCCCAATCAGTACACTCTCCGTCAACCAGAGAATTCCTTCAAATTCCTTGTGTGTGTAAACATACTTGGTAATAAAGCTCTTTCTGACTTCTGACTTCTGAGAAGAGTTAGAGAGCACTGTATTGATGTTCAGTTACATTCTAGCATCACAATGCAGCACAGACAGTATCTATATTTGTTCTCCTATCTGATGTACGGATTGATTTGTTTATTCTGAGAGCGCCGTGGGCTTCCAAGGCAGGTACGATGAGACAGTGGCTTAATTGACTCACCGTCGTTGTGTAGACAGCTTCGGGATCGTCGTCAATCACTCTGGACAGGCCGAAGTCGGACACTTTACATACGAGATTGCAGTTGACAAGGATGTTTCGCGCCGCCAGATCGCGATGGACGTAGCCCATGTCTGAGAGGTATCTCATGCCGGCCGCGATGCCGCGTAGCATTCCCACCAACTGAATCACAGTGAACTGCCCATCATGTTTCTGTGCAAGCACAAACAGAGAAACGTTGTCTATCCATCACCAGCGCACAACAGACACACACTCCATCCACCACGTGGGGGGGCTGACAGTAACACGGCCCGAGAATGAGCAATGAAATGGTAAATCACAGTGGGTGTAATGAACAGAACAGACAAGATATTGTATTCACTGACCAGATTGTCTAGGGTGCTTTATACGTACCCTGAGGAATGCATCTAATGAGCCATTTTCCATGTATTCAATTACTATCATGACTGGTTTTCCTGAAAGAGCAAAGAACAGACTCCATTAAAGTGAAGTGCGGCCAACACACACTGTATGAAAGCAGTAATGAGAAACAATTCACAGACAATTCTACAACACTGGATTCTCTTTAGTCTGTCGCCCGGGCTTCTCATAAAGAGTGTACGCTCTCCAAAAATAATACTAAACGACCCTGAGCCACAAATAATATTATCCAAATTACAAGATCAAATCATAACAATATGACTTCACAACTGAGCTTACGATAAGTCATAACTCTCATGAGTTTAGAAGATTAATAGTACGCTTTAAAAGTTCAATTTCAGTCGGACTGAAACGATGATTTGTCTTGTTTAAATGTCACGTAAACACTAGTTTGACTCAAATCGCACCAGTCCAGTTTTTGCAAAGTCAGACTAACAGATTTAGATAACGTCATTCATCGGACTACAATTGGCCTTGTCATTTTTGATGTGTGTTTAGATATTTAATTTTGCAGCCCTTCATTTCTTGACCAACCTTTGTGAAAAAAATATAACGTATATTGATGATACTTTAAATGTGATTAAATTAAAAATTTAATTTTAAATTCATATTAAATGCAATTAGTTAAACATTACAATGCTATTTTGACCCGTTAAACATTACATTGCTTTTTAAAAGTAGGATTTAAGTGCATCTTTTACATGTCATTTCATAATTACTTCTATTGTCTTTGAAATATGGTTAAAATGAACTGACAAGCATTCATGGTAAATTAAAATATACTTAATGTAACTAATGTTACTGCTATTAAAATTTGTATGTCATGCATTTAAATATATTTGTGATTAAACATTTGTAATTAAGCTGCAGATTATTACATTAAAGTATATTTACTTTAAATATAATATCAAATAGCACTACAGTGCAAATTCTAATCAAGTACTTTACATGTGTTTTAGTATGTTTGTCAACACATCAAAATAAATGTACTTTGAAGTACATTTTAAATCATTGCTTTTTTTTGTTGTGCTTTACAGTAAAACTTTCAATTTGATATTATTACAAAATGTACTTGTAAATGTTCTGTTTTTTTTTTTTTTTAAAGAAAAGGACGTCTTGGCTAGTTAAGCAGCCAGCATTGAAAGCACATGAACTTCATGAATTGCCCACCTCTGGTGACGACACCCTCTAGATGGACCACATTCGGGTGATCAAACTGGCCCATTATGCTGGCCTCGCACAGGAAGTCCCGCCTTTGTTTTTCAGTGTAGCCTACTTTCAGCGTTTTTATGGCCACCGACACATCCCTCTTTCCCGGCAGCTTCAGTCGTCCGCTGCACACCTCTCCAAACTCTCCTGTGAAGCACACAACCACCCGCAAGCTGAGTTCCAGAGATCCGGGCCACGTTTGACACCGTTACCTATACCTGTGCTGCTTAATACATATCAGTCACACTAGCAGCAAGTTTCAGCATTATATGATGCTATGCATCAGTACATAGGGGAGTGCAACCAAGAGAGCAGATAATTGGATATGCTATATAGACGACACGCTAACACACTTATATGGTTTGTAACTAAAAGAGATGCGGCAGCAATTCATCAATGGCAATACATTTATGAGTATCCTGGCCTTAGGAGAAGACATATTAATTATAAACCAATCCTACAGCAGCGCTATCAATAACAAGGGGCTGGAGAGATGCTCCGGCCGCTATCGAGAGTGTAAATATTTGGTTGTCACTGTGATAAATGAGAGAGGTGTGTGACTAAAGCGAGGCAGCGGAGAAGACAAGGGAAGAGCTCACCTGCGCCGATAACCCTCTCAATCTTAATGCAAGAGGCATCCAGCTCCTTTGCGAACTGATGGACAGCCCTGTTTGGGTCTTCGTAGGTTTCAGGGTCAATGTAGGTTTTGGTGCCTGGAAATTTAACTGTAGAAGGGTAAGAGGATTACTGTTACGATTAAATATGCATGCCACTCACACACAGAGCCCTTGATGGACCGATGCGATTACTGGAGGGTAGACGCACGGGGCTGTGGGCAAAACAGCACACTGTGATGGAAGATAGCATGTCAAAAGGTCTCTTTCATCAAATAATAAAACCTATGCTTTTATTTTTCCCACATATTTCATGAAAGCGCTATTATATTTTCTTGTTAACCTTCTCACAATGGAGCTGAAGGTGTATTAGCCGTACAGCATGGCAGCAACATTCGTAGCTGTCACTCATTGGATAATGGGTTTCACAAGACTGAACTATTAGTTTGAATGACGAGAAAGAACATTTCACTGCATATGACCATGAAACAAACACAATTAGACTATTCTTCTTCTTCTTCTTCTTAACATTAATACTATTAACAGTTATCAATGTTAAGATTGATTCTTTTTAATGCCATTCATGGAATTAATTATTCATAGTAAAAATCATTATTAATAATAATAATAATAATAATGTAATTGTTAAACGTTGATAATGTTAAATATTACATGTAAATATTGATTAATAATAATAATAAATATTTACATGTAATATTTAGCATTATCTACATTTAACAACTACATTATTATTATTATTGTTGTTGTTATCATCATCATCAATATTATTAATAAATATCAATGCAGGGGTCACAAAGACGCTAGCCCGACGTCCCGGGGCTATTGTGTTTTTCAGTCGAGCTACCAAAATGTATCACTGCCCTGCCCGACGGGCTATCTTGAATAGTGATATAAAATCCCTTCCTTAATTCGCGTTGTTCACTCGCTTGTAGGGGTGAAATGGATCATAGTTTATCATTTACACGTGTTTCTAAGTCTTACCAATTTAAACATTCAGGCGTTTTAAACCATTCATGCGCATGAAGAATTCAGTTCGGTGTTCGCGCGTACATTCAAAGCGTGCACATACAGAGCGGCGTTTCAGGCAGAGCACGAACACAGAATTGATTCCTCTTTCGCTTGAATGGACACATACATGCACAATTATCTCAAAATAACTATCTCGGCAAGTATTTTCATGTAAATGAACGTAAACAGAGGAGAAATCATTATATTGGATCCGTGCGTTCGGTCTTAAAGGGGCAGCAGCCTATAAATACCTGCTGTTTAAGCACCACCTGCTGTCAGAGTGTGACATTTGCATCTCATTCAGCCTGACTGCTGTTTTTGTTTCGTTCAGATTTTTTATGTAGTATCACAAAGCAAAGTCAGACCATTTTGTTTTTGTTTCAAATTTCAAAATTTTACAATCTAAATAACATGTATGCAGCATCTTTGTTTGGATCGTGATAAAAATACACAGGCAAAACCTTAGTTTACTTGCATGGAAAAATTTCTTTTATTTGTATTTATTTATTTGATTTGGGATTTGTTTTAAAATTTCAATTTAGTATATTGTTTGACATTTTCAATTGCATAAAGCAATGTGCGGCCTTTTGGTCTGAGAAACAACAAAAGGACACCTTTTTTAAAATCTGTCTTAAATCTAATTTTTGTTAAAAAATAAATTGTGAGAAAATTGTATTGTAAAATCAGTATCGTGAATCATCGTGAATCATATCACATCGTGAGTGGATGAGTTGTTTCATAAACACATAATCCTTTTTGGATTACAATCCGCCATCAAAATGATACATTTAATTATTCTGGCTGCTGTGAGAAAAGGCTATAAACGATCGACCACCTGCAGGATCCTCGATAGTCTAGTAGCCGGGACAACTTCTTTATGTTTACAGAAGTGACGTAATTACGCAGTGCCATGCTCGAATTTCCCGCGAAAACCATATTTGTTTTGCTCATCTGAAAAATTATCTGATCTGTGACTCAAAATGTGATATGATAATGTAATATAATTCGAACCGTGAAATTTGTGATCCATTGCACCTCTCTTGACTTGTTATTTGAAGATAACAATTCGGGCTAGTTAAATTCATTTTTGGGCTACCAAAATCTGAAGAATGCCTGCCCGAAGGGCTACTAGGGATTTTGACATTTTGCAAGCCCTGCAATGTTTTTATAAATTATTTTAATAATGCCATTAATGTAATTAATTATTAATTGTAAAAACTATTATTACTGTTAATAATAAAAATATTAAATATAAAATTTAAAAACACCAACATTCAAAGATTATAGTATTATTATTAATTATTATTAACATTTTATTAATAATTATTACGAATAATAATAATAACATTGAGTAATTAATCATTCATAGTAATACCTAAATCAATAATTGTTAATAATTAGTAATAAATATGAATTTTATTGTTAATAATAAATTAACAATATTAATTATTTTTCAAAAAATATGAATAAAACACTAATTATATGAATATATTAAAAAAGCCCAGTTAGCAATATTTGACTTTCTTTTATCCATATGCAACACTTTAGGCCCAATTAATGTGTTCGCCCAATTTTACTATCTAATCAAATCCTATAATTACATTGCTACCTGTCGACTTCAACTTTAAGCGCCATTTAATGAGATGCAAAAACTAATAGGCTACATCACGCTGGGATGAAAACGACTAAAATGGACTGTTGCTAACGAGTAATTAAATTACTAATTTGCAACAAAAGCAATGCCGAGGAACAAGGAGAGAGCTTTTTCCTAATATGCCCAGCTCCTTCACGGCCGTGTCGGCCTACACGATGACATAAGCAAACGGGCAACATTGTGCTCCAGTCATATGCAATGACAGCTGATATTTCCCTTCTTCTTGCCTGCTATAATTGCTTCATCCATCTAGGCTGTCAGTAAATTTGATAGAACGTGTTTATCACTGTTGCCCCGCACAACACGAGCAACAAATTGGGCATACGAGTACGGCACGCACCTTATCTGCCTTTTGTCAAACCAGCCAGCCTATTGTGCTTTTGCGTAGCTGAGCAGGTTCTCTTTATAAGCAGATGTTGTCAGTAGCGTCTGTTGCTGTCTGCAGTCTGGCAGGGCTGCGCGGTGGCGAGAATATGGCAAGCTGTAAGCCTTAGCGTGTGGGCAAGAATGCTAGTAAGGTTGAGCTGCCCCTGTACAAGCAAGCTGTGCCACCTTGAACCTTTGTTTCCAAATCAGCAGTTTGCCTACAGCACTGATCATTAGCAGAGCAAGTCTAGGGAGGCCGTCGGCCAGCGCTATCTCCAGGGGCTTCATTAGGGACTGCTGAGAGAAAACATCTTACTGGCCGAGAGGCCTGGGTGCAGGGGTTCAGAATCCAGAAAAGTCAACCACCTAGAGGAACATCTTAACGCTGACAGCTCTGAAAGCTCTCTTTAGATGAAGATCTGGAGTTGAGGGCATGTTTCTGTAGGATTATGGCCTTGCTTTACACCATAGGCGATGCTAGTGTATTCTCGTGTATTCTAGTGATTATGTAACAGTTCAGAGCATCAACTGTAGGTCTATACTGGTATTGGTGGACCTAGACAGAATTTAAACACTGGTTTTAAGGTGGAAAAAACGTGTAATGGATTATCTTTCTCATCTCTTGATTAGCAGTCCATGTAACAATAGGTTTTAGTGTAATTTTTTTTTTAACAAAATAGTACAGATCAGGCTCATTATACTACTACTTAGGGGAAAATTCACAGCTGAAAAGAAGAGCTTTTAATAAAACTTGGCTGTCAGTGCAGGAGAAACATGAATTAAACACTGGTTTTAAGGTGGAAAAAACGTGTAATGGATTATCTTTCTCATCTCTTGATTAGCAGTCCATGTAACAATAGGTTTTAGTGTAATTTTTTTTTTTAACAAAATAGTACAGATCAGGCTCATTATACTACTACTTAAGGGAAAATTCACAGCTGAAAAGAAGAGCTTTTAATAAAACTTGGCTGTCAGTGCAGGAGAAACATGAAAACATTTGTGAAATCGAAGCTACGTGACTAGAGAAAGCAGAGAAAAAGGGCTGTGGTGTTTGACGTTTATCCAACTGTCTGTGGGTGGAGATATAAAAATGCAAAAGTTTGATCTGTAGTAGTTTTAAGAAACCCCTGAAGCGGTCAAAAGTCAGCAAAAATTGCCAGCAAAAGTCTGCTGGATGGTGCAAAACCTTATATAAAAAATTATATATATTATGTAATTATATATTATAGTTCTATAGTTGAAAAATTATAAGTATTCTAAGTTGCAACTAACTGAAATAAGTTAAAGCACTAAAATAAAAAATAAAAAGTCAACTAAAGCTGAACTAAAACTAAAAAAACAAATCATATTTTTAAAAAAGCACTACAGTTTACTAAAATTTAAACAAAAATGAAAACTGAAAAAAAAAAATTAAGATATATTTAAAATATCAATAAAAACTATAATAGTGTATAAATACTAATGACACTGGTATAGATTAACAACAGGCCATTTCTCAATTACCGAGCATAACATGAAAATAATTATCGACCAGAATTGCGATGTTGGTACATCCCTACTCTTATCGCTAGCTGAAAGCATTAACTTAAAAATGAACTCTGTATATGAGGATTTAAAGGAAAGGTTCTAGATACTTCTTGAGAAGGCAGAGCTGTAATGGTTGACCAGAACATGATCAATGATGTACAGTGGCTCAGTTCTGCTCCTCCCCTCCTATAGAGTTTAGTTCCAGTCCTGCTTTAACACACCTGCCTGTAATTTTCAAGTGTGAGCCCGAAGACCTTGATTAGCTGGTTCAGGTGTTTGATTAGAGTTGGAACTAAACTCTGCAGGATGGTTCTCCAGGAGCGAGGCTGAGCACCACTGATGAGTGTGTGTATAATGAGCTGATGAAGCTGGCACTCACATTGAAAGTAGAGCTCCTCGTCCCCTTCCTGATCGGCCTTACTGTAGCCACAGTGTCTACAAAGGGAACAAAAAGAAACGAATTAAAGGCCTGCAGTGACCAGACGTACAATTTCAAACATAATAGGGCTATGGAGGACAATACATCTGGGCTCAACATGAAGAAATTGTGAAATCGGAAATGCTAATCAGAATGTTTTTCTTGACACGGAATAGAAATGCCATGAATTCCTGTTCCGTTCTGTTCCAAGAGTTTGGAGATAAATTAATCAATTAGATGATTTTTTGGGCTGGCAAATTGTCTTTCAGAATGGCTTGAACAAACAGATTTAGGAAAAATAAACATTACGAATAAGTACATTATCTGCAATCTGGAATTTCTAAAAATTATCTTGCCAGTTGATTGGAAATAACTCCATAATGAATTTAACTGATATGGAACACCAAAGCATTCAGAGCATTCAGTGTTGATGGACATGCAGGACAGCAATACGTGTTTGGGAAGGATTCATGGGAATTAGTTTATTCCAGTAACGTGACAAACATCATGAGTGAAGTCTTCAGATGGAAAAACACGGGCGCTCTTGGTTCAACCATGACAAACATGTAAAAAAGGTGGGATTGAGAAGGGAGGATCTGCAGTTGTGAATCCCATTCTGGGTGTAAGCTAGCAGCATGAGCTTGTGAGGGGGAAAATGTATCAGAGGTCACATTCCCACAGTGTACGACATGATGGTGGGTGGGTGGGATCACACGCAAGTGGGCGAGGGTGTGAACTCCACAGCTATGGTGGCTTTTGAGGGACAGAAAGGCAAACTGAGAGAGCGTATAAGACTCACAGTAGCGGAGAGTCAATGGGGGCCGCGAGCGCGTACCTTCTCCCTATGATGAAACCGAACACCATGAAGACCAGGATGATGGTACCGGCTACCGCCACCACTGCGATGATGATGACTGGATTCTGCTCACTCGATATGACTGTAGCTGCAATTAAAACACAAATAAACAACACAAGATGTCAACTCTAGTCCAGTAAGTTTGTTTATAAAATATAGGAATTCACAATATATTGGTACCATGATGTTGTCAACAGCCAATATTCAAGATTTTTATAAATGTATAATTTTGTATTCATATTTCATGCTCATTTCCGCAATTTTTTCATTTGGGTTACCTTTTCTCTCATCTAACACTCAATTTTTTCAATTTTGAACAACACTAATCATTTAATAATACTATTGAATGGAATGTTTAGCAAATCTCAAAATTAATATCTATTTTCAAACTGTACAATTACGTTGGGAGCAAAAATTCACTTGTTGAAGTAAAAGATTAAAAAATATATATATATTTTGAAAGATAGGTAGATAGAAAATATATTTTTATAATTAATAATTTCTTCTCACGACTTATTCATTCAGTCTTGTTTTAGTTCAATTGTGGACACTTTGTACTTTTTCATTCCTTTGTTTTAATTTAATTAAATCATGGCCACAATTTAATTAAAGCCAGTGAACGAAATTATAATTTATGTGAACAAATTAGTATAGCGTGGTCACAGTTTACCTTGTGAGAATTAATTAATAAATCATAGGAACAAATACAAATTTTTACTTTTTTCCCCACATGTCATGTGTTGGGCTACATGGTTTTTAGTGTTTTATTTTGAAATTATTTACACAAAATGACATTTTAAAATCAGCCATACATGATAACATGAAAATAATTGTCTGCTTACTATAATCATCCAGAATTGTAATATTTGTGCATCTCTAATGAACTATTTGGCAAAAGGAGACAGCAGAATAACTTAAAGCAAAGCTCCATTGAAAAAGCATGGGACGGTTGTAAACCCCTTTTCATCCTCTCTGCTGCGGGGAGGGGCTAGCTCTATTTTAGGGTCTCGCTGAGTGCACGGTTCTACTGTTTCTGAAATTGGGCTTAATAGTCCCAGATGGTAATACAGTGGCCTGCATTTGAAACAATGACACATTCAGGTTGGACTGTTTCTCGTTAGGTTTGTTTCTCCGAAACGAAAATACTGCGCTCACTGACAAACTGCAGAGGGAACCGAAACGGAACATCTTATCAAAAAAGCACAATGTCTTAGGTGCAGTCTGGGTCAGAGATTTTATCTGGAGGAGACTGGACCTTGCCTTAAACTAGAAATAAACTAGTGGGCCAATTAACAAAAAACTGATTTAAAAAAAAACTTAAAATAGCTGTTTCACATATACTGTTTTGCTCACCAGATCCAGTGGATACTTCCTTGGTGGTGACCTCCACTCTAGGACCGAAAGTGCCGTATCCCGCGGCGGTGAATGCTCGGATCTGAAAGATGTATGCTGTGCTTGGCTTCAGATTATTGACTGTGGCTGAAGTAGACTTTGACTTCACGGTGGAGTAAATGCGATCCTTCTGGTCCTTCAGGTTCAAAAGAAGAAAACAAAGTAACAATTTTGTCACAGGGTATCAAAAGCACAAATTGTACAAATTCTTTACAGAGAGGGGTGGTTACGCTGAAGTGTTTGAATACAGTGAATACTGCAGCATTTGGCCCTTTTCACACGCAAGAGTTCAAGCAGAGGCAATATCACAGTATTTCACCAGTAACCTAGGTAACCAGAAGCAAGCTGTTCGCCAGGACCTGGTGCTTCATTTACAATTGGAATGTCAAAGAGAGCTCGAGGAAACACAAACACATGCACACCCACACAGAGTATATGGCTGATCCCAATGTGCATGCTATCCATCCTATATAGTAGGTGAGATTAAGATTAGTGTGTCACAATGGAATGCAAAAGATGCCTGAAGATGTCTGTTCTATTTTTAGTATTTCTATTTTTTAAATATTGCCCACACCCACTTGCACAACAAAAAAGGAACCAGTTTGTACTGGATCTACTACCACAGCTTTTTTAAATGATTGAAATTAATTCAAAGATAATGAATTTAGTTATTTTCAGATAATGTTAAGAATGAGAAATCAATTGTGAGGTGTAAAGTCATGAACTAAGAGAAATAAACTTGAAATTGTAAGATGCAGAGTGGCTATTATGGAAAAATAAAGTTGCAATTAATTGTAAAAATTGATTAATTGTGAGATAAAGAGATAATTACAATATAGTCACATTGAGATATCACATTTGTGATATAAAGCAAATGATGAGAAAAGTTAAAATTGTTTCTTGAGCATCAAATTAGCATAATTTCTGAAGAATCATGTGACACTAAAGATTGGAGTGATGACTGCAGACAATTCAGCTTTACCATGACAGGAATAAATCACATTTTAAAATGACATATTAACAGAAAATATAGTTATTTTAAATTGTAACAATTTTTTTATAATATTACTGTTTTATTCTATTTTTTATCAGATAAACGCAGCCTTGGTGAGCATAAGTGACTTGAAAACTGAAAATTAAGAACTTAGGTGGAAATGGGCCTTCCATACTGAACATGCAACTGATTCAAACCTGCATTCCCTGTGTGAACACAATAGCTACAACAAAAGAAAATAATCTGCTCCAATGCTGCACCACAGCATTTTCCCACTGATCTGTAAATTATCTCTCATGGACTTCAGAAGAGACGAAAGAAAAAAAAAACTCTTAAATGGAATGCCACAGGCTGTTAGGAGTGAAGTCAAGCTTGCTTCTAATTTTCAAACAGCACAGACTACAGCCAGAGAGCGCTCCTCAGGAGACTAATTCTGCTTTCACACTGCCTAAAGAGACCAGAACCCAACAGACAGAGTGAACGCGCTGGACCTTTCTGCTCATGCCTGACTAGCTGACATATGAGTTTGAAGGTAGATACTATGAAGCTGTGCTTTATAATGGATGGGAGGGTGGGATTGACAAGAGAAGGAGCCGAGGTGAAAGAAGTTAACTGTTTGTGTTCATGTTGCTTGGGAGTACAATTCTGATTAATGTTTTAGTTTAAACAAGGGATTGTTTTTCGGTTTGTTTTTCATTGAACAGATGCTCAGGTACAATACCAGACGTATGTGTGCTGCTCTTGTGTGTGCATGTCTGAAGTGGTCTTAGATGTGTACAAGTGTGGCTGTGGTAAACTGAGACAGTCCTGTGTATGTTTGTGTGGGATTGGTGAAGGACCTCAGTCTAATTAAAATCTTATGAGTGTCTCATTCATTACAGCAATTAGAGGGGAAGGATCCACTCAGACCGGAGCATTTGACTGCAAGCTTCGTGCTCAGAGAATGCAAATCATGAAAAAGAAAAAAATAATACAGGCTAGGATGGGTTGCATGGGAATTGGGATGCTGACAGACAGGTAAGACACACAGTCATGGTCTCTCTCTGTCTTTCATTTTCTGAAACACACAGACATATATTCATTAATAGCTTATGCTCTGGAGCAGGTGGTGTGTACTCACTTTCTCATAGTACTTGATCTCGTATTCGGTGATGACGCCATTGGGCTGCTCTGGTTCCTGCCAGGAGAGCTGAACGCTGTGCTGCTGAACTCGCTCCCTCATCACCTCACTCACTTGCGATGGGGCTGAAAGAAAGCAAACAGGAAAGATACTGAGTTTTAGTAATTCTGTACACATATTCAACTAGTACAATTTAAAACAAAACAGTATCTTAAATCATGAAATTGACATGCCATGCATTTTCATTTTTTAAATTAATTGATATTTGTTCATCTCAACAAAGCTTAGTATTTTGTATTTTTATCGATTCATTTTTAAAACTGCATTAATGTAAATTTTAAAAATGTCTAATTGTCAAGTCAAGTAATTACCTATATTTAAGATAATGTGTTAAACACTTGTTAACAAAAACATATAAATAATAATAATAATAGGGAGGATTATTACTTATAGTATTAGATGGTGTTTGGATCAAAGAACTTAAAACAAATCAACCTCATACTGCGCGAATACCTTAATATATTCATATATGCATAAAAAAAACCTATTCCCTTGCTTTAATGCAAATTCAGTACCTGGTTGGCACAAATACACACAGACAGAATCTTGTGTCACTACTGCTCCTGCTGATGAATATTCACTTGGTGGCTGCTAAATGTTTACACCTCATAATGGAAATTTCAATTACTGAGCAAACAGCAGAAGACAGCCTTATCCCACTCAGAGTAAAACTGCAACGTCTGGCTTATGAATGTCAATTAAGTCAAATGAATTCTGCCGATACATGTGGAAGCGCATTTTAGAGAAATGTACCCTAACCCTGCCGCTGACTTTCCCCGCGTCTCATTTATCCCCTCCCTCCCTGATTCCCTGAATCCATGTGTGCCTCCTATACAGTTTCTTATCCAGTGTGCCATAATTGTCTTTAAATTACAAAGTTATTGCACATTTTGTCCAACTCGGTATACTATTACCAAATGCTGTGTGAATTTAAAACGAGAAGCTTGTGGGTAACCCAAATTAAATTTCTTGTTTTTAATAACTTCAGAAATAAGATCCAAGAATTTCAGAAGGTAACCTTCGGATAAGGACGTTCTAAAAGAAGTGTATGGAAATGTAGCGTTCATGCATACGCCATTAATGAGTGTCCATTCTCAACGGACGTCTGTTAAAGTAAGAAAAGACTTTCCTCAAGTAGAGGGGAAGGAAAAAGAGAATTAGGCTTCGAGAAGAATTTAACTGATCCGTGTGCAGTGAGGAGAGAGTGAGAGAAGCGGTGACATCTCCGTATCGTGCCCGGTGATCTGTCGAGGGAAAGGTTTCAGGGTCACAACTTCGTTTGACTCAGGATTTTGTTTTGTGCTGACCTCGTGGTAATGAGAGATTCAGAATTAAAACCTCATTACAGGCCCACGGATGGCAACAGTCAGATTGTGTTTTGACATATCTAGTGTAATCCAACTAAAATAATCAAATTTCTCATCCAGATCTAAAGGTCGGCCATATCGGCTCAGACATGAACGCACACCACACCGTGCCGGCCTACATGCTTATTTGTAACAGCAGCCAAATTCCTTGCTGTCTTTAAGAGGCTATTCAATCCAAACCACAGCAATCGTACTGATGCATTTAGGTATGTTCTATACTCAAAGTGTTTTAAACTCCCTCGGTTGGAAACTGTGCTGATGAAGAGGCTGGCTTTTTTTCCTACATTCAGCTGTAGTCAAAGCAGTCCGAACATCTCAAAATCTGTGTTTGTTTTTCCTCTCTGTCCACATTCATTGTATGCAGAGAGTGTCAATTACCCATGAGGAGTGGGGCGATGCAGGCAGGACATAGCAATTTAAAGAGCACACTTGTACAGCACATAACCAGTTGTACTGGAGTAATTGGATCTTTTGCCCCTTTCAACTGACTGCTTCTTCTGTAGTAGTGGGTATGAGGTGCTTGACTGTCTCTTGGAGTAATAGCCTCGATCCTTTTAACCTGATCTGGGAAATGAAAGTTGTGACTGTTTCTCTGGAGTTACTTTTCCCACATGAAGTGTTTTCTTGTTATTTTTGTATATCTATTTCCATATCCAGCACACCCTCTGACTTCTGAATTTAGTTACACTACACAAACACACGTACATTGCTTTTGGGATCTCCGAGGCACATTTCCCTTGACAAGTCAGTCTGTTAGTCACTTGTATTTACTTGTAAAAGCACTAAACTTTGGCCCCAAGGTAAAAGACGTTTGCTAGTTTTGACAACAGGTGGTGGCCACTTGTTAAGAATAAAGCCAATTAATAGTAAGTTTGGCTTCAAATATGCTAGTCTCAATGTAGAAATGTACAAGGGTAGATGTAATTGTAAAATAAACTAGACAAGAAAGAAGTTCTTAAAACCCCTTTGAAATCCAAATAGGCTTTTAGTCTGTTAAATTGCAGGCCATAAGATACTGAAGAGATAAACTGATATTCTGACCGATAATTATATTAAAGTCATGTCTGATTACGGATAATTTGTCAAAATAAAAATGTATTTAAAAGAAAAATAATGATTTTAATTGCTACAAGTGAAGAAGTATCTTGCTAAAGATTTTACTTAAGAGTGTTGATACATATTAAAAAGTAATCCAAATGTAAAAATAAAGGAAATGAGAATAAATTATTATACAATATCAGCCTATATTGATTTAAATAAATAAATGAATAAATAAAATAAAATAAAATAAAATAAAAACTGCACTCGTCAAGCAATTTTTTATGGGGTCTGAGACAAAAAAAAAGAACTTCTAAGAACAACCATACCACTTTCAAAAGCACTTTCACTACATCCCTCTCATGAAAGCTAAAACACAAAAATCGAACTCCTGTTCACACTTTTTTCATATTTGACATCAAGTAAGGCAGAGTCCAAACTTTCATCATAAACAGCAGCCTCCCGTTCCAGCAATGTGGGACCGGCTGCCGTCCATTCTCTCTGCTGAGAACCAGCTGGGTAATTGAGAATCGAGCGTAGTGACAGCCCTCATATCGACTCGAATCTGCAAACTGGAAGAGAGACCCTGAGTTCAGTGTTAATATGGAGGAAATGTGTCCCTCACCCCCTCTCTGTGGCACCTTCCCCATGGTATGTTTAACCACTGCCCTGTAACAACCATTAATAACATGCTTACCTCAGAGCGAGTCAACCCACTCCCTCTTTTATCGCACGCCTAGCGCAGCAGAAAATCGTATAATTGTTCCGTCTGTCCTAAAGCGGCTGTGCGAGGGGGGAGGGGGAGGGGGGGCATTTTGTGTGCAGTGGTTGGGTGACATAAAAGCAGATATTAGTGACCTTCTCGAGCCTCCTAATGCATAAGTTAATTCAAGCAGAAGCAAGCGTCTATCATGTTCTGCATTAGAATACATTAGGGATACATTATGCATGGATGTTTTTATATACTCTCAGCTCCTTTCTCTCTTTCCCTCTTTTGGCTGGCTGTGGCGTTTCTAGAGTATCTGAAAGCGCAGAAGCACTAGAATGCCATTATATAACAGAAAACATTTTCTCTCTCTGGTTTGTCTGCACAGTATTAACTTTGAAGTATTTTAATTATCCAGCCACTTAAATCAAGGCTGACACTCTCACGTCACCGATTTCTTTTCATACTATCGAACAACTCTGAGCTCTTATCAAGAGACACCGACTGAAACGGCACCGCAAACATGTTCTCAAGTGCTGCATTGCAGTTCCTATTCTTTGACAGAAGCCTGAGATGGAAGAATGGAGGTTTCGCTTTAGCCAAGGGCGTAGGAACGATCTGAGAAGCACATTATAACCTTATCAGCCTGGCTCATGAATATTAATGAGGTGATGTAATGTTTGCCCAGTAGTTCTAACTGGTTTGCTGTAAAGCAGATGGGTGCTGAGTTTGTTTGATCGATTGCTGATACTACTAACATTCGGTAGAGGCTTCTGCTTGGCCGTTAACTGTCCTTTTTAGGTGGCTGGCTAAATTAAATTATTAGAGCACAAAAATCCCTGTCAGGAATGAGTTTTGAACTTTCTAAGCATTGCTATATTCAATATGGCTTTAAGTGTAATGCAGTTTCATAATGTGTAAATTAAATATTTGAGAATATTGATGGGCCTATGATGTTTACAGTCACAAAGTCAGGTCAGTAATTTATTTAGCACAATTTAACAGAGGCTGATGCAAAGTACACAATTTTAAATAAATCAACAAACTAACAAATAAATACTTTTAGTAAAAGTCTGTATTAAAAGTTAGTTAATTAAAGGTTAAATAAAATATGAAATATATTATAAATCTTGGGGAAAATATACATTAAATTATATTATAATAAATAAATAACCTTCCTTGGCTGTAATAAATAAACAAACAAATAATTACTTTTAGTAAAAGTCTGTATTAAAAGTTAGTTAATTAAAAGCTAAATAAATTATAAAATATCTTATAAATCTTGTAAAAAAAAATATTAAATTATATTATAATAAATAATATTAAATAAATAATCTTCCTTGGCTGTAATCTGTCATTTAATGTGGCCGGCTAAATTTTTATTTAGTTTTTTTTTTCAGTAAAAGCAAAGAACCTAACCAAATTAAATAAAGTGACAGAGATAAACAGTTTGATGCATGACTAAAGAAATGCTGCAGATACACCTGGTTGGGGGGTTAGACAGGTGGGTGGGACGGCCTCTCTACCGATTCCTGTCTTTAGTTGGATATTTTTTATATTTATGGTCATCTCTCAGCTGGAGCGCTAGGCTTTATTAGAGCTAGGCCTCCCATAGACAGCTTTTCCAGAGCCCTATGAAAACATCGAGATCGGCGACAGAGTTCTCGTCGGACAGACACTAACGAGGGCTGACGTAATCAACATTACTTAGCTTGACATTTTGACTCCGAGCCGGAAAAGAAAAAAGGCCCTCAGAAGAGATGGAGCAGTATAATAAAACCTCAAGGAGAGGCTGAACCGATGTGTGAGAGTGTGTAAATGAATATGTGAACGAAGACAGAAAGCGTGGGTGTTAGATCTGCCTCATTATTGCCCCTGGCTACCACAAAGTGTGTGTGTGTGTGTGTAGGCATGGGACGATAACCAGTTTCAAGGTATACCGCGGTTTGGAAAA